AATTAAAGTGAGTTCATCTCGAGAACCTAAGGGACCATGATTAATTGAGAACCTTCAAAGTGGATCGCCTACGCTTGTGGTTCTTGTCTTCCATGTCTTGAGAGTAAAGATGGAGTTTGCTTCGTAAGTAAACACAATTTATAAATCTACCTTATAGTTCCTAACTAAATCTTTCGCTTTGTAGAATCAAAAAATCTCTGGCTATTATTGTTCGTGAATCGAGGCTTTCCAAGTGGATGACATTTCTAATTCAGAAAAACAGACCCAGGGACATTTCAACAATATGCGCTCGCGCCAGCGAACTATGTAACACCAATTCCAGATGCTCTGGATTCTAAGGACGCTGCTCCTCTACTGTGTGCTGGAGTCACGACGTGAGTTTTCACAGCCTCAATTCGGTCGCTTAGGCGGCCGGGCCGCCTCAGGGGTCGGTCACCCCTCGAGTAGGCGAAGCTCACAGGAACTTTTGAGTTTAGATATTCAGCCTTGAGAAAGAGTGATGCTAAGAGTGGACAATGGGTTGTTATCGGTACGGTCATCTCCGAGTATCATGAAGTCTTCAAACTAACATACAACAGCCGGTGCGGGCGGTGGTCTTGTAATCTCCTCCCCAGAATCTCTATCGGGTCGCATACTAACCTCCCTAGGGCCACTTGGCTTGTCAAATCGGAAGTCGTGGTATGGCAATGAGAATCATTGGAATTGATCATGGAAGTAAGGAAGAGTTGGTGAAAGAATGCGGAGCAGAAGTCTTCATAGATCTCACCAAGTTTGACGATAAAGCGATTGCAGAGGAAGTCAAAAGAGTCACTGGCGGGATCGGAGCATCTGCTGTCATTGTGTGCACTGCTTCTAATCGCGCTTATTCTCAAGCGCTTAGCTTTTTGAGATTCGGCGGAACGTTGGTCTGCGTTGGAATGCCAGAAGGTAATTCCCAACCTATAGCCAACTCATTCCCTGCAGCCATGGTAAAGATTCCCGTTATCACATTTGTAACGTGCGCTAATATCAACAGGTCGCCCAAGAATGGAAAATCAAGGGATCGGCAGTAGGTAACCAACGTGAAGCATTGGAGGTACTTGAGATGGCGGCCCGGGGAATTATTAAGACTCGCATTCGAATGGAGAAGATGGAGAACTTGACGGAAGTGTTCAAGGAGATGTCGGAGGGTAAAATGCAAGGAAGAGTTGTACTTGATCTGTCATAGTGGGAGAGAGGACGACTTGCATTTGCCACACATAAGTAATCATGCAGGGGAAATCCTTTTGAGGATTTCTACAAGCACCGTTGAATAGAGCTGAGATATGAATGACAGACATATGATGAAAATATGAAACGATTTCGTGAACTCTGTCACACCGAGGGGTAACTCTATTTCGATATTTGTGGATTGTGTTCTTAAAGTAACGCCGTGCCTACATGCTGATACCCAATCCCGTCTGCAAAAGGCGATATCACTATTGATGCCTCCAAATGCCATGCTCGCGATGATTGTATGATTGGTAGAAATACCACAAGCTGAATGGTTTGGTACCGGCAGTTTGGTAACTTCCAAAATCTTACAGGTTACATCAGTACCGTATCATAACCGAAAGACCTCTAGAAGTTCCTGGAAACTTGAATGCGTCGAGAGTTGACAGGCTAGTTTAAGATTTGCTGCCATGCGAAGATGTGGATGAGAAATGAATTATGTGGCCCACTTGCCGCGCTGCGCCACGAACATAGTAACATCCTTACCACCTTCATTTTGTCACTTGACATTCAAATGATGCGGAAGAGTGCCCGGACATGCAGGAATAACGCGTTTGTTTCTTTTTTAGGTTGAAACTTCTAACTTCGATTGGAAACGATACGGGGTGGTGAAGAGAGTGACCTAATACACTACTGCAATGCACCAACTCCGAAAGTTTCTTGAGTGCTCAAGTGTCATACTTTTCATTTCGTTCGTCGTAATGCTGACCATTAATAGTTGAGTAGTGATGAGTGCCCAGCGTCCAACCCAAGGCCACAATCCCGCAATCCTCAATCCCCCTACTGCAGTTAATTGTCGACCCCGGGGCGACCCATAATGAACGTTGAGTTATTTCCATGACCACTCGTTCCATTCTTCACTCCTCTTGCGGTAATGATTATTGCAATTAGCATAACGATGGCGAAAGGTAGGCGAATTAATGATGAAGGGGGAATTGGATGAATCGAGGATTGAAGGAGTGAGCCTTACGGGTCCTCCAGCATTGAATATAGATACCTCATCTATAGATTTTTTTGAAGGAAGTTCATGAGTTTAATTGGTTGAAGGTTTCCATCAGCTCGAATGTCAGCCTGGTCCACCTAATAGTTACTCCATAGCTGCTTGTGTATACTGGCTCGAGACTGGTCGCTTATCGTATGTAATCTATCCGGCTGTTCTGTGGCTCTCCGTCAATTGGTGTCTCTGTCCGTGCTTTTGGAATATCTCCGCCATCCCATCTTTCCTATCCCAATAACATCATCCACTATCGTCCAACCAAAATTTAACGCCGCAAGCGACTATTGTGGCTTGACTCCATACCTCGACTTGATTATGCTAGGTGCATCGCAAACTATTACCAAAATAGTAAAGTAGTAAAGTGCCAACAAAGTCTACATCGTACATCATACATCTTATTCATATGAATAATGCCTTGTCCTCCTACCCAGCCGACCTCCAAAAGGGCCCATGCGACCGTATTTTTGACCTACTAATGATACCAATTTTTGTTACTATTCCAAAGGCTGAGCATCCATTGCTTCTAATCCTCTGCATGCTAACAAAATGACGAAAAGGTTTATAGGTAGAAGGAGGGAGAAAGCACAAATTCGTAAGATATATAAGTCACACAGTCGTCAGCATCATCATGGGATTTACACATTGATATCCTGCGCGTATTTACCTTCATGTCGTCTCCGCTTCCAAATTTCTGCGACCTTTATATCAGCAAGACCATGCATGCAACACGTAGTGGTCAGATCTACTCCCATGAACCCTTGAGAAGAGAATTTACTTCTGGTGACGGGGATTCTGATAGCGATAGCAACCATTCAGGATACCCTGATAATGACGACGGCGATGAAGAACACAATCAGGGCAGAGAGAGAGGACCTCAGGAATTTGGCGTCTTCTCGGAGGATGAAGATTCTGACGATGAGCCCCTACACACTGTGCTCGCTGTCGATCATTGTAGATTGGTACGATCAAGGAGACAGTCAAGGGAGCAATTGAGTCCATACTTCGCTTTCCAAGTTGGCGTGGCGGAGGTTGAAACCCGCAGTATCCGAATTGGCTCATTAAGGCAAGGAGGAGAAGAGAAGTGCTCGTGCGGAAAAGAGCTTTGCTTCCACGTTGCCAGGCTGAAGTCGGCAATGGGCATAGACGCCGGCGATGACTGTTACGAACGCCTTAACGAGCGTGGCATGTCCAATGTGTGTGACGACCTTGGATGGGATTTCTCAGACGAACCTTACCTTTTTCCAGCCCCGCAATGGTCGCTTAAGAATGAGAGGCCAAGGACAAGTTCAACAAGTCGCGAAAGGGAGGGTGATGTCAGGGATATGTTATCATTTTTTCATCCACAAGCAGTGGCAGACGAGTACCGAAATATTCTTGATTTCGCTGTTCACAACGACGCCGTCCTTGTTCCTTATAACCTGGAAGCAACTCTGGCCAAATTACTGACCCAAGATGATGTCATCTTTCATCGATTTGAACAACACATTCCCAGAGAGCGCCGCGATATTATGTATCTAAACAAGATAGAGGACAAATTCAACGAATCACTCCGGCAACTAGACGATTATGCAGCTTCTGGTAACCTTTCAAATTGGGATGCAATGACGCCATTCGACAATGTTGACTTTGAACACAATGTACCATGGTGTGCCCAAGCTCTCATACAAATTAGTGGCTCAATGAGGGACAATCTGAGATGGAGAGTCGGTATGAGTCGGAGTAATCAATTACAAGCAGCCGCAATGTTGATTCGAATGCTGGAGGCTATTCGCTCGCGCAATGTCGACGTATACTCTAACCATTATTTTCGACGTAACAGACCTCACGGAGAACAGCTAACGAATCGAAACCTCTACTTGAACTTACTCGGTCCCCAATCTGAGAATATCCCGGATCGAAGCGACTTTATTATTGATGCGCTCGAAAACTTGCCTGGGCATGTCGTTGCCGCAGGTGATTTTGTCAATCGCCTAGATCGTCTTCGCGCAGACTTTAGCAGTGTAGCTTTCGTTTCTCCAAAACGACTTTATGTGAACAGATTGGCACAGCTCATTTCAAAGCTCAGAGTAAATTATGGGCTTCCTCTAGTTTCTGTTTCGTCAGCCATGCCGGCTGTAAGCGCTGCTTCTACCGATCTCAGCTCTTCCTACAGTGTTGGACCAAGCGCTTCGTCGTATGCCGTAGCTGGCCCTTCGTCTCTCGGAGTGCCTAATTCTTCTTCAAGAACTAGACGAGGTTCCGCAACTCGTTCAACCTTGGGAAAGCGGTCCGGCAGATCTGCTAGTTCCAATGATCGACGTGGAAAACGCGCCATGAAGTAAAGCTTGCAAGACAAGATGGACTCGTGGTCGATAGTGGAGTGTTGGAATTCATTGTTTGTTTATTTTCTTATCTTCGTGTATATCATCTCATGGTCAGGTACCATCAGATTCATGTTCTATTTGCAGACTTCTTTTACTGTATTTTTTGGGAATGTTGAAATATTGTTTCATACCAGATACCATTTTGGCGTATAATGTTTAGAAAACATCCTTACTAGACTAGAAGGGGATACTGTAGAGGTGCTGAGATGTGCTATCTATATTTTCCAGATTGTTTTAGTGCACTTCGAGGTAGTGCTACAAAAATAATATTTATTATCCCCTCAAAGTTCCTAAATTCCTCATGCATTGCATCGGGTCCGTTATCATATTCTTCTACGAGTACTCAGGGCGAAAGATGGTAGCGAGGAAGGGATCTCTCAAACCCCTGCTCAAATCATTTGTAGTCCCGACTTTTTCTCTCTTTCAATGGCCTCGTCATCTACTATGATGACAGGTTTTCCTTTCATTCTGCCTGAATGAGCGAGCTCCACTGCTTTGGGAATCTCTCCCAAGCCTTTGAATGAGTTTGTTTGAATTTTAATGTTGTGCTTTGATACTAATTCTAGCATTTTTTGTGCTTCGCCTCGGGATCCTACACTCCTGGTCAGATAATGATTGTGGGGGCCAGGGACCACATCAACTTACCAACAAGACTCCCATGGATTCTGATATCCCGAAAAATCACATCTTCAAATGGGACGCTAATCTTCCCGGGCTGAGCAATCTGAATCATCGTTCCGTCTATTTTGGCGAACTTGGGGTCAGCAACTATTCTCATTAAAATTGATAGAGTAGCAAGAGACTCATCCTCATCAACGTCATAATATCATTAGGCATATCGTAGAGCGAAAAACGACTTACGCCTCTTTGTAACCGCGACCGCTGTTGCTGCAGCACTCTTATGATCACTAACGTTGAGAGTCGAGTCTGCACCTAGGCCACCCGTGACCTTTTGGACATCTTCTATTACTTTGTTTTTATCTTGACGTGCATCTACCAATAAATCAGCGCCACAATCTTTAGCAAGTTGTAACGCTTCGTCTCTGGCATCAACAGCAATGACGTTGAGACCTAGTGCTTTGGCAAATTGAACCCCCAAATGACCTAGACCTCCGCCAGCTCCTACTATTGCTATCCATTGTCCTGCTTTTAAGCCCGCTCTGACGATGCCGCCCCCTAATTTTGCATAAGTTTTAGTATTGCATCAGTTTGGATTTAGAAGTTGAAATTCTAGGGTGTTCAATAAAAATCGATTGAAACAATGAACTACTTTCAGATTTCTAAACGCTTTTAGATATTCAAACCGTTGTATTATTAAACCGCAGTCCGGACTATTGAATACCCTATTCAGAATCAGAACACGAGACGCGAACTTACAAATAGTGATACCAGCACAAGCCAATGGAGCCGCCGATTCAAAACTCAGATTATCCGGCAACAAACTACACTCCCTCCCATCTACAACCTCATACTCAGCAAACGATCCATCTCTCACTATTCCCAGATTCCCTCCACTATGAGCGCAATACTGTCGGTCATGCTCGGGCCCAGTACAATCAGTACAGACGCCACAACGATGATACGTTAAGCTACATAGAATACGATCTCCGGGCTTGAAACCTGATACGCTGGAACCGATAGCGATAATGGTACCGGCTCCTTCGTGCGAGGCGACACATGGGAGAGGGGTAGCAAGTATGCCTGCCGATACCATGCTATCTGTGTGACAGAGAGATGCTGCGGCTACACGGATGAGTATATCGTGTTCGTGGAGGGGACCGCGGGGAGTGGGGATGTGGTGGATTTTGTAGGGTTGGTTGAACTGGGTGGTGTGTTAATCTAATCTGTTGTTTTTTGTGTGAGGGTGAATGTATCCTTGGTTTTTTTTATTCTTTTTTTTTACCCAGATGATCTCTTGAATAGAGTACCGGTATCATAGTGCATTTTTGAAAAAGAAATACTTACTTCAATAACTTGTGCTGCGAGCATCTTGTCGGGGACTCCTTGGAATGACATTTTTGAAATGGGTGAGTGCGTAAGTGAGTGAGTATGTTAGAGCTAAGTAGATAGGATATCTGCTTTATCATGTGTTGATTATGTGTTTGTAAATGATACACCGGATGAGCAATGGAGTTCTGAGATACTACCTTCCTCACAAAAGTTGTGGCAATTGATGGGTGGTTGGTTGTAACTTGTGTTGTATTTATTTGACTACTCGATTCCGTGTTTACGTCATTATATATGTAACTGGCTGTTTGTAATAGCAGTTAATTTAGAGGATTGAAAGGTCGAATATCCTTCAATAATCTATCGAATTGTTCCATTTCAAGCTACAGAATTAGAAGTTCAAAACTCCTTCAATAATCTAACTTAAGTAAATGTTCCTATTTCGATTCAGACAATTAAAAGTTTTGATTTCTTATAGACTTTATTAGGATGATTAATTTTGGTCTCTTTTTTCTCCAACCTGCTTATAGGTGGGTAGGTAGGTAACATTAAATGGATTAACATACTACAAACAGAAGTTTCCTATTCTCTCCAACTCCAACTCTACTACAAGAGCTTTTAATCCAAAAGTATATTGTATTATATTGTATTGTAACCTTATTCATGGGTGGTTAATGAGGATATAACACTATTGTTGTAGGGTATACCTAGCATATCTATCTACCTGGTATCTACCTGGTATATCAATCTTTCAACTGTGCCGCGAATTGCACTACCTAATGCGAGTAAATAGTCGTGATCCTTCATACATACATACCTAGGTATATATATATACATGTAGGAGTGAATATCACAAATTGTCTTATATTATTGTCTTCCCAGCCACTATCATTTTAACATCAATATTGTCTTACTATCGTCATCACCACGACCACGGCGACTCAGGCATTTCACCCTGAGGAAGAGCTTGGTTAGACACCATCACCGTGCATTTTCCTATCTATCTTACATTTACCCCTTCCAATCCCATCCAACAACAATCCAAATTCACACAAAGGTACAACGATACAACGATACAACGATACAACAGGATTATATACTTTCCCGCCTCTTCACTAATGCACGAATATCCCCGTACCTGCTTCGATAACGCTTACCGATAAAGCACTCACAAGGTTAACATCACAATTGATGAACTAATAGGACTGCACCGCATCGCACGTGGTAGCTTTGATAGAAGCGATGCCGCGATATAAAGGGAGGTCAAGCTTCCCGAGCTCCAAATATCTGGGAAGCTCAAAGTCTCATCATACGGAGAGGTTTCGCAAGATTGCACTCTTTCTCATTATTTGCGCTTTCCTATACGCTTCGTACATCATGCTCTTGGATCAAATCCTTTTATTGTCCCTCACCGGGGTGACGGCCTCAGCCTTGCTTCCGGAGAAACAGCCATCTTCATCTTCTACAAACGATGTTCCCCAGTATTTTCAGACAACCCCCGAACTTTGGGCCGGTCCAACTGCCACGGGTAGAGCTCCGTTTCTCGTAAGTAATAGAAAGTATTAGCCCGTCGGGGTTGAGATTTATAAGAAATCTCTGTGAATTCAAAATTAATTTACCGTTTGATTTAGGCCCAGACAAATCCAGTCTCGTTTGCACCAACTGTAACTTTCGTGCCAAATACTCCTCTCGAGACGGCTCAGCCTATTGTAGGCCAAGGTCAGAATGGAAGTATTTTCCAGCTTATGGGACAACTCTCTCCTTACTCGCCCAATCCATCTGGATTTGGTGTTGCAGAGTATCCATTACCACCTGGAGCTAAGATCGCTCAACTTCAGGTAAGAATCCAAATATTTGAAGACACATGTGGTTCTCAATTTGGAATCAGTCCAACTTGAGTGCTCAATGAATTCCCAGTGGAATTGTACATATAATGAACCTCTGTCAAGACATGTACACTTATCGTTTAGAGACTCCACAGGTGGTGAAACCATTGTTTAACTGCTTATGTACATTCAAAAGCTTCGGCGACATGTTTCTAAATTACACAGAGATATCATATATGCTAACAACCTCCAGATGCTTTCACGTCATGGAGCACGTTATCCAACTTCAGGAAGTAATGTTGCAACCTTTGGTAAAAAGATCGCAAACTACACGGGGGAAATCAATGCTACAGGGGCTCTATCGTTTTTGAATGACTGGAAGTACGAATTGGGTTATGAGATTCTTGTTCCTCGTGGAAGACAAGAACTGTACGATAGTGGTATTCTACACTATTATCAATATGCTCAATTATATAACCCTCACAGCAAAATTATCGCTCGAACTACCACTCAAGATCGAATGCTCAAGGTTTGTTGTCACTTCCGCAATTTCTAGTATGACACTAATTGATGGTAGAGCGCTGAATACTTCATGGCTGGATTCTTCGGTCTCGAATGGACAAACAATGTCACTATTGAAGTCATCATTGAATCGAATGGTTACAATAACAGCTTGGCAGGCTACGATAATTGTCCTAATTCAAACAACTACAGAAGTGCCGGAGGAAACAATGCCACAAACCAATGGGTGGCTACATATCTACAGAATGCCACTGCTCGTTTCCAGTCCATGGTCTCGCCGGAGTTCAATTGGACTGTCGTAGATACCTACGCAGCACAAACTATGTGCCCATATGAGACTGTGAGTACAATGTTTCTATTTATATCTAATCGTCATAGTCTAACATAATGTAGGTGGCCTATGGCTACAGTGCCTTCTGCAATCTATTCACCTATGAGGAATGGGTCGGCTTCGAATACGCAATTGACCTTTACTTCGCGGGTGGAAGTTCTTTCGCTTCTCCTACTGGTCGCGCTGTTGGAATCGGCTATGTCCAAGAAGTAGTCGCCCGTCTTCAAAACCATACTTTGGGTTACTCCGGCTCTCAAATCAACACTACCTTGGACAATAACACCGCTACCTTTCCTCTAAACCAGTCCATCTACTTTGATTTCTCCCACGACACAAACATCATGTCTATTCTCACCGCTTTCGGCTTCACACAATTCGCTGAAGCCCTACCAGCTACCCATCATCCTGGCCCACACAATCTGACCGTTTCGCACATGGAACCCTTTGGCGCAAGATTAGATATAGAGATTATCAAGACACCAAAACCTTTAGCAGCAGATAGAACATACGTAGATGGAAAGGAAACTACGTATGTACACTTCATCCTCAATCAGAGAACGCTACCTTTAGGGTTCAGTTTTCCAGAGTGTGGAGCTGATAGGTTGGATGGATGGTGCGAGTTGGATACGTTTTTGGACGTGCAGAGTAGATCGACAAAGGATGCTCAGTATGAGTATGCTTGCTTTGGTGATTATCCTGCGGAGCCATATGGAAGTGTTACGAATGGCGTGCCGAATTCTTAGGAGTGGAAACTTGAGACGCTTAGATTCTATGTCTTTCGTATGTTACGGGGTATTAATTAATTCTGCGATTGGTCAATGAACAGGGTTTCTGTATAAATTAGAGTATAGCTCGATTGAAAGAAATTGAGGGGATTCGTAGATAAACTAAATCCACATGAAAATTCAATCGATAAGCTAGCATACATATCAATGTGATCTTCTTATAGTTTGTTATCGTCTATGTCTTAGAAGAAGCAAGTTAGCTCATGAATGTGTTGAGAGGATTAAGAGAACGCTAAGCATTCAGAGTATTCAGAGCATTTTAAGAATCCATAGTATTTGAAGGATTCAAAGTTTTTTCAAAAGATTCATAGTACTTAAAAGTTTTGACGGGAAGATTTAAGTGTTCCAAACTTTCAAAGGTTTCAAAGTATTAAAGGATTCATAGTATGGAGAGAATTCAGAATATTCAAAAGATGAAGAGTATTTTATAGAAGTAAAACTATTAAACCTATTGAAATCATTGAAATCATATATATACATTAAATCCTCGCTAACAATCTCTCGATACTCCAACCATAGATCCCCCAAGTCCATTCCCATTCAGTCCACCTTGCACTACGCAAGATACTTATCAAACCACTCTCTCCCCTGCTCCTCACTATCATCCATCGCCTTCCTATCCCTCTCCTCCCCCCAATCACTCCTCAACGCAAACCCATGAATCTGACCCTCGTAAATCCGCAACTCATGCAGCACCTCCGTCTTCCTCGCCATCAAATCCTGAATCTGTCCCACCGTCCCCCGATCCAACAAACTATCCTGATCCCCCACCGCCAAACTCAACGGTTTGGTCACGCTCTCAAAATCCGCCGGCACAGAAACCAACGACGGGTGACACGCCACCGCCGCATCAACCTCTCCATGCGCAGCCAAGATCGCATAGCGACCTCCCCAGCAAAATCCCAAGGCCCCTATCTTTCCCGTCCCAGGATCCCCACGAATATGCGCGATGAAGGAGGAAATAAGCGGTTTCGTGACGCCCTCGCGATGTCTCACGAGCCAGGGCGGTAGCGTGGTAGCCACCACGCCCGTCGCTTTAGTTTTCTCCAAAAGCGATTGCTGGTCTCGGATGGGGAGGGGCGGCTCCACGCTCTGCAGAAAGGAAAGCGGAATGCTGTTTCCTCGGTGGATGTCGGGGATGTAGACGTAGAAACCGGCTTGGGCGTAGTTGTCGGCGAGGAGACGCACGTTTTGGAATTCGTAGCCGAAGACTGGTGGGGGGTGAGTGGGGTGAGTGTGGAAATGGGGGTGCGCTTGGATAGACCTACTGTCGACGAGAATGATAATCGTCTTGGCTTTCGAGCCGTCTTGGGGCTCCGCAATATAGGTGGAGAGATCATTGATTACTTCCACCCTTCCTGTGGGTGTACCATCGTGCACTTTGCCCGACAGACAGCAGGAGGACATTCCGACGTTTGAAGACATAGTTTTCGAATTGCGGATATATACAAAGTGTGCAAAAAAAAAAAAGATTAGAAGATTAAGGAGAAGACTTGAGCAAGGAAAATACATGTATTGCGAGAAGGACTTCGTCAAGCTATAGATGTAGGTGCCTTCATTAAGGTTCCAAGTATGACGTCTGCCGCTAACTTGCTAGCTAGAGTC